CATACGTAAAGGCTTCGTTCGAAACGTTGGTTAAAATATATTAAATTTTAAGGAAATCTGTCGTTTCGGTCTGTAAAAGGACCTAAAAGGACTAACGGCATTTTGTGGCGGTGACAAAGGGAAGAAACTTCCTGGCTTAGTGATTAATTTTTTTCAAAAGGCGGTGTATTTGCAAAACTAGGTCGAAGACTGGGTTATATTGGCATTTGTCATCGCAACACTGTTATTAAACTGAGAAAAAAATTTTTTTTCTTGCTTCAAACCAGGCTCTGGTCGAAGTTATCAGAGAACATCACCACCATCATCATTTTCTGGATATTTTAACCGAAGTTACCAAACGTGTGGTTGAGAGACAGAACCCAGAACACAACATAAAGTGCCGTGTCCAAGTTCCAGCACCCATGCACACACTCACCAAGCATCTGTATTTGTGAGAAGACTGGATCAAAGTATTAACAACAAAGAGCAAAAGCGTTTCTGAGCGCTAGGAAATCATCTCTTTAAGAACCCAAAGACACTTCGCATGACAACTTTAAGTTAAGCCAGATTATTTACCCTTGTGCGTCATATAGGAATGTTTTGTCAGCCACAAACCTTAGTGTTTTTTTTTTTCGAAAACCTTTGTTGCTTTGCAGATCGCCGAAGTGCTATATCAGCAAAGTTGTTCGCCGACATAATAAACGAATAGAATGAAGAGTTGTAACATATGTAGTCACTGTGAGGTCTTGAAGCGAAGACCTCATATTTTGCTTTGAGATATCCAGTGAAAAGTGCAAGCAATAAGAAACAAGAAAACATCAGCACAGTTAAATGTCTCCTTGTGCCAGAAAAAAGCATGTTTGGTGTTTTGCCAGGGCTACCAACAGCCTAAATGGAGACAAACTAAAGTTACTTTTGTTGTAATTAGTTTGAAAACAATGAAATACGAGGCTGATTGGACATAGACAGCTAAAACAGATTTCCTTCTTACCCCAGCATTTCCTTGAGGGTAGAGTTTACTGTTTTAAGTTAGTTGCATGTCTCGTTTCATTCTTTCATGCTTATCCAAGATCGCTTGTAACGTGTTACTGTTTGTCCATTTTGGCGAACCTGGCACAATTAAAAAGGTTCATTCGCACCTTTTGGTAGGGTTACCAGTTCGCCCCTAACGTAGACTTGAAACACGTAGGTAAACTGTTAAAACTTTGTACATTCCATGGCTCAGTTGCATTACTCATTCAGTCGGGCACTCGCCCGACTACAGCTGACTAAAGACTGCCATTAAGGCGGACTTATGTTGTCATGTACATATTATATTTTTGCTTTAAAAATTGTCATATAATTAAAATATCATATGCAGTATTATAAACATAAAAAGGAGTCTAAACTTCTAAATAGGTTAGTGGCAGCATATGTGTGTATTTAAAATTGACATCCGTTTGGTGGAAAACTTCGACCAGGAAAACAGAACTACTGTCTGTTCAGACCTTCCCTTTAAGTTACTTCTAAAGTTTTTCACTGTAACAACTAGAAAGTTGGGTTTTCTTTCATTCTAGCCGGATTTTGCGGAAACATTTGTAAATGGTAAACAACCCATGCCTGCCGGCTGTGCAAACACCAATCAGAGCATAGGATGCGGCCAAGCTCGATGCACTGATCAACGCTTGTATGTTTTAATACTGATTGCATATTATTGTATAGACTTGTACTGAGGAAGATATACTTGCCAATATACTTGTCTGTTTGGTTTTTATTTGCCTAAATAATGCGAAGCAATGCTGGTTACGGTGCGCAACCTCAACATCCCAAAACAAGGTGCCGATTCGCCATAATAGCACTAAATTCCTCAGGCAAGATATGTCTCTCAGCTTTTCTGCTTGCGGCTCGATCTCAAATGATATGTCTTTGGGTGGGATAAGTTCTTGGTGGGGAAAATTTGTTAAATTACGCGCGTTATCGAGGTTGTAAAATCTGAACAGGTTACTAAAAAAAATGAGCTCTCTTGGCTTCCACTGGCTGTTGCATGTCCACATTGTGACATATAACCCTTGACTGCCTTCCGTATCAGAGTTGAGAAGTCACAGTGCTAGTTCCATGGTAGGGATGACAATTTAGTGTCACTCTTACAAAGTCACAATAAGTCTTAATCAGACCGATAGCAACGATATTAAGGTGGACGATGCCTTCTCCATCTGAACGGGTGCGTCTTCCGGAGTGCCACAGTTGTCCTTACTTAGACCCCTACTGTTCAACAACTTCATAAACGAAATTTCCCTGGTCTCTATGATGCATATGTTGGCAAAAATGTAGGAAGTTTTCACTTTGGAATCGCAGTATGGACGACTTATTTATCACACCCTGGTCCCATGATAATAACATGGCTAACACTCTGTCTGCGTATCAATATTTTTCGACCATCAGGCTGATAGCTAATCTATCATCGTACCAAGTCACTGAGCCCACATATCGAATATATAATGGGTCGATCAGTAATCTATCTGACTATCAGAATCTGTAGTCAAAGCTTTATGTGAGGTCGGGTCGACTAAGTCATTTTTCAAGGACCGTTTTTGAAATCTATTCCTAGACTATGTACCGTTCCGTGAATCAAAATTCTTAACGCGTCGGTATCCTTTATTGCCAAACTAAAAGCCTATTTACTATTTATGATAATCTTCAAAGGTGTAACCCCTCAGGCGCTGATACAATTGACCACTCCAGAAAATACCATAACATACCATAATGCTCTATGTATGTCACCCCCAAATGTTGCATAATCATAGTCTTCAGTTTCTCTTGGGAGTTAAAATGGCCCCAAGAGAAACTGAAAACAATGCTTATACAAAATTTTGAGCTGACAAACAAAGAGTATTATAGTATGTTATGGCATTTACTGCATGTAGTGGTCAATTCTGGCAACATCGTTTAGTATTAAAGTTAGAGTTATTGCCACGCATTCTGTCTCTGCAAATCAGTTTTTCTACGACTTTGAGGGCGCCTCACGATAATGGCCGAATTTATACTAGCGATAAATTCGCTTCAAGATGAATTATTATCCATTCCAGGAGCCCATAACCCGTGTCCATTCATAACATTTCGCCGTTTCTGATTGGCTCAAAGCCCAGGCTAATTCTTCATAACCAACTGTCAAATTTGGAGGATGCGAGCAATAGACCTATTCGGCTAACTCAATGTTGTACCCAATTCAAATCTCCCTGGGTTAAGATTCTTTGTGTATTGTATTTGCACTATAAAATGGCACTCACATATAAATGATATGGAAATTCCTAAAACGAGACGTTTTATTCCCAAAGGGTTTGAATTGGGCACAACATTGAGTTAGCCGAATAGGTCTTTATACTATCAATTCGATGGTATATTGACTTGGAAAGGAGGTTGATCAATGGCATATTGATTTGGAAAGGAGGTGGCATGGGCAAAAGACCATCAATCAACCAAGAGCAGCGGCCCAGCTGTTTATTCACGAGTGAACTAAAAATAATGGCGTTCACGCGGCTATTCGAAGACGAAATAGCCTAAATATTCTGAATAAAACTAAACGGAAAGAAAGCAGGATACGCAGAACATATTGCTCGATAGATGTTATCTACTTTTTGATGATCGATTGAGGACATTGAGGAGTATCTGTAAGAAAAAACCTGAGTGTGTTTACAATCCGGAAACTGTGCAAAAAATAGGCCAAAGTTTAAAAGAAAGTCAACGAGGAGGTAAGCTTGTTCAGGACTTAAAAATATTTTGAATGAATAATAAAACAGTTATTGAACTCCTGTAGCAAAGCCGCGGGGCCAAAATATTGTTTCATATTGTTCTCGTTCAAAAGCTATCAAGTGTCCCCCGTTGTTAACGGACTATTGATTCTGTTTTTATTCAGAAATCCATTGGTGAAATGAATGATCAATATTCCAACACTATTGAACATTCGTATGTTGAATGGATCGATAAAAAAAGCCTTACCAGTATTTTTATGGCTAAAATTCATCGGGGCTCAATCTTGACACAGACATTACATTATAAATTTCATGGGAATTAATATTGAATTAAAGAACGGAATCAATTTCTAATTAATGAATTCATAACCTGTGAACGATGAAAATGCTTGGCTGGCTTCGAATGTAAGAGCTTGCCTGAACACAATCAAACGGTTTGTAATTTATCATTTCTTCCAAGGGCATCTTTTTGTATTGAGGTCCAATAAGTGATGAAGGCTGGCATTAAACAAAGACAAATCCATTGATTCTGTTGTTCGATCCGTAACTTACTGTTAAGTTCTAACAAGAGCAATAATGGCTCCCCGGGGGGGGGGGGGGGGAACAACTTTGATTTTTTTTTGGGGATGTCCGCCCCGGTTTTCAAAAACTTCGCCCCTTTTACGACAAAAAAAGATTTTTTTACCCCCCCTTTTTTCTACCCACCCCTCAAAACCCCAACCCTTTTCAAACACAATTTTTCTCGCCAAACTTAAAATTTTTTAAAAAAAGGAAAAATGGGCCCCCGGGGGGGGGGGGGGGGTACACCTGGTAATTCTTTGTGGGAGTGTGCCGCCCAGTTCTCCAAATCCTGACCCTATTTCAGACCAACAAATGTCATTTTCCACACCCGTTTTCAGACCAGACCTCTAAAATCCATACCCGTTTTCAGACCAATTATGCTGGCCAAATACTAACTATTTGCTTGATTTAGTAAAGAGATCTGTTAAATTTTCTGTCAATTCTTTGGCTATAAGTGAGTCTATCTCGATAATAACTAAGACATCAAAATGCAGTCTAGTCGTAATTTCTCAACTTGTTAACACTCGTAATATGCTTTGGTTGCTTGTTCCAATAAAGAACGAAATTTTTAGGCCTACAAAATCATTTACCAGCCTAAAGAAGGCACGAAAAAAGGGCCATCTTGATTTATGGCACCCGCTTAGGCCCAGTTCTCCCCCAAAACCTTGAAGGGGAAAAAAGTTTCCCGAGAGGCGGAACTACATGACATGTATTACGTAAAACAAATAAAACCTGAGTCATCGAAAGACAGTCTACACAACCGGTACGCGCTAGGTTAAAGCATGGTTTGTGCAAAGGCCCGACAGAATTGAGGACAAAAAGAATGGAAATCGGAATACAAGAAGCTACTTACAAAGGTAAGCGTGAGAAATAATGGCGTGAAATCTACCACGTAAAGAATCGAGTCAAGTGGAAGCGTTTATACAAAAGACTTCAACATCCAGAGGAGTAGCAAGTAATGGAATGGGAGATTTGTCGAGACCTTAGACAAAATGTTAGGCCGTTCCAATGCCGCAGAACAGCTTCTAGATAGGGATAGTAAACTTCAGTGTCGTGCTAGTAGCCTTCTCGGTCATAAGACTGATTGTTTCGCTTTTCCATGGTTCACTTGCTTGGTTTTGACTCGTAACACGTAAACGTTAATCTAGAGCTTTTTACTGAACTGTCCCAGGATTCAGGATTGCCGTTAGAAAGTTTCCGTTTATGTGTGTTAAAAAAAAAAAATCCATGGAATGCTTTTAGCATAGACTAATTCTTGTTGTTCATGTTCACCCGTGTGACAACTGTACTATATGCAAATTTCGAGTGTTGACCTGACACTTAAAATCATTGGGCCAATTTTGTAAACGTAGGTTAGCTAGTGTTTAACAAAACCGCGTTCTAAGTCATTTTCAATTTGCCCAACGATTTTATCTAAACATCATTTATTGTGAACAGTTTTATGACAGCATATTGAGAAGACTAGAAATTAAAGTATTTTTCTTCTTAAAACAATCCACCAAAGAAGAGATCTGGAGGTTCAAAGATTCGTTGAACCGCGGCTTAAGTTAGACTCCACTGTTTTTTTCTGGTTGCTAAGAACTTTTTTGCAGAGTGTAAAGGTTGCAATTACCAGCTGAGAGTTTTAACAAGGTAGTCAGCACCGCCAGCAAGGATAAAACTACTCTGTGAACGCCAGGGAACTAATATCAGACCATTCACTTTTCGAAAAAAACTGTTATAATATGAGAACCACGGAGGGCTGTCATTTCCAACTTGGTTAACGATAATAAATAAACATCACCAACTTTAGCGGGCAAAACGCAGTCGATGTTTTCGTTTAATAAGGGGTTTAGTTGTAAGGGGCCTCATACTGAGGATTTTTTGGCGGGGGGCTGAGGCCTTGGGGCAGGCGGAAGCCAGAAAATTTTCACTTGTTACTCAAAATGTTCTTGATGATAATAAATTCAATGGAAAAAAATCGAAATATATTTTGTTTGCTAAACAAAAGACCGCCTGCGAGTTGACGAAGTATGGCAGTAATGCTTATTCCAATTTGTACTTGTGATATGGAACAATTATTATTATTTTTTTTTTAAAAAAGGGTACATTAATGCATTAAATAAACTCTGTAGCTTGTAATTTGAAAACAATTTTTTTTTACGACACTGCGGACAGAAAGCCACTCGAACCGACATAAAATAAAGCGTCACGCAATCGTTCTTGAATTTCCCTTCTAGCAGAGGTCTCTCACGGCAAGAGAAAATTCAATGATTTGAAAGAGAGTGACCTTTGCCTGCCCCCGATGCGTTTTCCATCACTCATGCACTGACGTATCCTTAAAAACCATTAATGTTTAGTCACGTGCGACACAACTTACAGAACCGGTTTGCGCGATAACAACGTGGGCTGAGAAGTTTCCAGGATGCAATCTCAACAGGGCAGGAGTATTCCACATTAAACGAACCGGTTTTGAAAACCAGTGAGTCTCGGCCACAAATGTTGCCGGCGGCTTCATAAAACGACGCGTCGGAGGCCAACAGAGGTCTCTCTATTTCATTTTCTCTTGCCGTAAGAGACCTCTGCTAGGAGAGAATTCTCGACTCCATGATGAGTGCTAATATTTCCTTTAGACAATCGCTATTTCTTAAAAGCAAGTCATGATATTGGAAGGTTACGCAACTTCCTTGTCCTGCTGTTCTATATATAAATCACTATCAAGAGAGGATAAAGGGGACAGAGAAGGCATCCCCCATACACACCCTATTACATTGGTAATTCGTCTCGAGTTATTTTTAAGACCACAGATCCCAAGGGGGATTAGACAACAGCCAATCACATAGTGCGAATGTGTTCCGCGTGGATAAGCCACGCTCAGAGCCACGTGTTCTTCACGAATTGACGCAGAACAAAATGGCGGAAGACGCGGAGAGTGATATTGCTATTCGTTTTGTCGACGAAAACGACTACAGAGAGATTTCTGCTAAAGCTGTGTCAGCGAAACGGAAATTAAAAAAGAATCGCCTTTCCTGGCTTTTTTCTAAGCATTGCTACGACGTTGATTCGAGCAAAGCTGAGAGTTCTAGCAAAGAAGATGAAAAAGTCAGTGCACGCGAGGAGGAAGCTGTAACCGAAACGGAGAGTGCTAATGAAATACAAGAAAAAGTAGAAAGCTCCTATTCCGATGAAAGTTCAGCAGATGAAGCGAAGAGGAGGAATTGTGCAGGGAAGCATAAACCTGCGCCTTCGAGTTCGACCGTCACCAAATCAAGCAAAAGGGCGCCGAAGAAATCAAATAAACGGAAAGAGAGTCTTTCGAAAGAAGAGATGTAGCGATTCCTTTTTTCCAGGTGAGCGCCGACTCATTTCGCTTCAATATTCAGGAATGCTCCCGATCTCTTTACGCTTTCATTGCCTTTCGCCCGACATGTTTTACACGGCGTTTAGTCATGCGAAACCTCCATGAAACATCCACGCAGCGCGCGAGGTAACTTTAATTTTTTACCCGGATTCTAAAAATAATTCGAGACGAATTACCCATGGAATAGGGTGTATATGGGGGATGCCTTCTCTGTCCCCTTTATCCTCTCTTGTCACCACTTAAAGTTGTTTCAGGTATTCTTGACACTCGGTACACATGGTATGGTGTTGCATTAATAATAACTTAATTATTAGATCAAGGCTGAGGGTTTAGCTGTTGTTATGGAAGAACTTATAAGTAACGAAGTGACATGTGACGTAGGTGAAAAGGTGTAGAGGTATGACACGAAAAAAATTGGTCAGAATGTCCTACTACAAAAGAGCCTTGTTTGAGACTAATAAGTAGCAGCTTAAAAAGCAAATCGGTCGGCAGCAGATAAAGGAAAGTAAATTGAAGTGAACGTTTGGTTCGCTCAGTTGAACATAATGAGGAAGCATCGATCATAATTAAAGGACAATGTACAAGGATTCCGGCTGAATTATTCCAAACGAATGTGATGCATGGAAGAATAGCTAGTCAATTTGAAGACTGTCATGCTGCTTTCTTCCCTACAGAAAACGGTAACTTACCGTTTTCTGCAGGGAAAGCCAACTACACCAAGAAGGAAATGCGTCCCGACCTGTAATTCCCTGGGACTACTTCCTGATATAAGCCATAATGGTACATTGGGCCGCCCCAAAGGGTATAGTTTTGCGCCGTTTTGGCCTGAAAATGGGTATAGATTTTGCCCATTTTGGTCTGTAATCGGGTATAGTTTACGAGGGAACTACGTTACCGTAGTGCATGAATGTTTTCGTCGTTTCAATTCCGAACAAGAGAGGATAAAGGGTATGAATAAGAAAGAAAGTGTAATATGCGAATGTAATACGTGTGTTGCGTTTTGTGACCAACCCAGGTCTGAAAACGGGTGTGGAAAATGACATTTTTTGGTCTGAAATGTGGTCTGGATTCGGAGAAGAGGGCGGCACACCTCCACCAAGAATTCTCTGGAGAACTCCACAAGCTGTGATTTTAGTTTACGGTGTTGTCAAATGTCACGAAAAGACTAGCCCTCCTGGATGCTCACTCATACGTATACAAAGGACGGAGGTTTCATGCCCTGCAGTTTTTAAATTGTTGTATTCTCAATAAATCTTTTAACTGTTTCTTTTTTAGAGTGTTGAAAGATTATCAACTGGAATAAAAAATGAGCAGTGGTGAAGACAAGAATTCAGGTTAGTGAAAAACAAGACATTCAACAATTTTCCCCAGATATTTTCTTGTATTTTCCTTTCTTATCAAGTTTTCCATGCTTATTACAGCAAAACATTTTTTGTAACCTCATCAGACCCGAATAACGATGTGGTTTATTCTAATAAGTTATCTTGCCAGCATGGTGTCTATAATTTGAATTTTGTAAATTTATCACTCAGGAGTTTTGACCGATCACTACCGTTTTACGTAATTGGTAAAGTAGTGATTTCAAAGTAAGATTATCAACATTATTCAGCTTATCCTTTTCTATGAAATTTCGATGGATGAACTGATTTTTGATTCGAATAAAAAGCATTTTACTGAATTAATGTGATGGAACTATTACAAATTTAAGGCTGGGCGGATTCTTCAAATAAGGGATATAGCTTTAACCAGTGCTCTGCCTTTAGGCTTACCTTATTGCAAACTACCGATGGGACAAATTTTTCAGTGTACGAACCTTGTTCGAACAAGTAATAGACTAGTGGGTAGGGGTAGTGGTGTCCCAAGCATTCGTATTGGGGGTGGGGGAAGAGAAGCATAAGTTCTCATAACTATGTTGGTAAAGCATTGCAGCTCTAACGGAGACTATATGGGCTCTTATCCCGTTAAAGCCCTGAAATTTTTTTTCGGGTCAATTTGCAATTGCTTAAAATGTAATTAAAGCTGCGACGATCATATCTTTATTAAAACTGGAATAGCTTCGAGTTTAAGTTGTTGTGCGTTCAAGGTTAAAAATTTTGCTCTTCCACTTTCTCCTTCCTTTACTCTTTGTCAATAATAACAGTTGGTAGGTCCGAGAGAAGATGGAGCAGTGACCCTCTAAGAGGTAAGTCGTCGGCTAATAAAATCTGTTAGCATTTCAGTCATCAGCAGAGAGCGAGAAAAACCAAACCAAACCACTTAACTGCTGTTTCGAAGACCAATCATGGGAGCAAATTAACGTGTCTAAGTTAATCCCCGCCCCCAAGCGCATTCATTCGCATTCTCCTTGCCATTATCTGCAGGATGCTGGTGAAGTAGTTTTTGATTATTTAATGTTTACAGACTAAGCTTAAATTTAGGATGAAAAGGTATTTTTTTCGAGTTTACCTATGATGTCAAGGTTTAAAAATTTTGCGTCGTCAAGCCAAAAGTGGCATGAGTGAGTTATGCAATGCAGCTCAATGCCTTCTCGTGGTATAGCCTGAATATCCCACCACTGACATGATTTTTCTTTATACACATGGTTACTCACACCGTAACGTAACGTTAACACGTTAAGAATTGAACTCACTCATGGAATATTTTACTGTGAAACACTCGGAAGCTGAATAACAAGTACAGTTGAACCTCTCTACAACGGCCACTTTTGTCTGTCCTCCAGGTGGCCGTTGTAGAAAGGTTCGACTGTATATGAACCTTAAAAAACGATATTAAAATATGCTCAATGTTTTGAGTTCACTTTGATACTCGGTTACCGCGCACCAAATTTACGTTTTGTAAAACTGTAATCAAATTTAATGAAAACGGCTGTCATTATGTCGGAGCACGTTTTATAAAACTCGAAAAATCGGAAGATCGATTGGGACAAGTATGGAAAAAATCCTTGTTGCTTTCAAGATGTTGTGAAGGCAACCGAACCCTATTTTTGGTGATATTACCCGTTGCATACCATCAAATATGCAACGAGTTGCTTGCTTTCCGATTAGCTGTATTGTTTATGGCATGGGATAAATTTTGGTATACCAATGTATTGCCGTTTCTCAGCTCCTGCGTTTCTATAATGCCGTGGCACCTCTATTCAGGTGACACCCTCGGAACCAAGGCAAGGGTGCCCTGAATGGTTGGGCTGAGGTTTGTTAATAATAAGCCAAAAAATAAAATCTTTATTTTTTATTCTGCCTCGGAATCTACTGCAGACATTATTTCAAGCAGAGAGATACATGTAATGGATAAAAAATCACGATTAACTTACCTCTGTGATGTTGTGTGTTGAATCTTTCAAGTGCGGTAGAACATCAATTTTAGTTGACGTTGTTCATGTGTTAAAAGTTGTCGCCATTGTGGTTAGTGTACACTTAAACTTACCAAAGATTTTACTGGTCAGTCTCTTTTTGAGTGCTAAGGTGTTCCCTGATTGGAGGTTTCATCTGGGTTTTAAGACCCGGAAAAAGTGTCCCTTTCCCCTGAATAGAGGTGTCCCTTCAATAGAGGTAACGTAACAAATACAAAAACTGTGTGAACATTCTCCCGAGACCAAATTTTGTAACCACTGAATGGAGGTGTCCCTTAAATAGAGGTGTCTCAAAGGAGAGGTTCCACTGTACACGCAGACAGAATTTTTATTTATTTTTGTTTCCAGACATCGGTGCATTTTTAAATCTCACTCGTCGATCATAGTTTGTGAATTTCGATATTAAGGTGTTTCAGTCGCTTTAAAAGTGATTTTATCCTTGTCTGATCGTCATAAAATTTTTACCAATGATTGACTATAGATTGAAATTTGTCAAAATGTAGGTTTTAGTAAAATCGATATTACTATGACGACAATAAACAAACAACTTTGAAATTGAAAAACGCCTAATTTTGCGCGATCTAGACCAGCTACTTAAAATCCAGCAAGAGGAACTTAAAGGTTGGTGTTTAGCAAATAAACTCCGTAAGAAGTAGAAAATTCTGTTTGAATTCGACTGAAAGGAAAATATATTTCAAACCTAAATTTTCGCGCTACAACATTCACTGTTTTGACGTTACGCTAATTTTCCCAAATTGATGCGGACAATACATATATCCATGACTAGTACATTTCAGTGTGAGTATTGTCGATGTTTTACTACAATGTACTAGTCATGGTGGTATGTAGCGCGCATTATTTTAGCATAACGTCAAAACAGTGAATGTTGTAACGCAGATTTTTGACAGGTTCGTAGGAAAGGTTTGTCTTGAAATTTTATCTTGCAGTGAATCAATCTCAATAAAAGTGTCAGACCTTGTTATATACATTATCAAGATTATGTGAAGAGATTTTAAAAAAATTCGCTCGCGAGTCGTTTCAGAGAAAAGTCCAAATTTTGAATGAAGTTGCAATTATACAGGTGGTAGGAAAACGGGTTAGTTTTCAAGATCGCAAGAACGAAAATACAAGGAAATTTTTTAGCTTCGAAATATGATATTAAGCAATATGGTATTAATATGATATTAAGCAGCATTCTGACTAAGAATAATTTGAGTCATTTATAACGTGTTTATTAAATAATCTATCACGGCTGTTGAAAATTTAATGTTCGAAATATATTTTCGTTTTAGTCGAATTCAAACATAGAGAATTTTTTACTTCTTACGGAGAAGTGTTGGAGTGTTGGATTTCAGTAGCTGGTCTAGATCACACAAAATTCGGCTTTTATCAATTTCAAAGGGATTTGTATATTGTTACATTTTCACAAATTTCAATCCATAGCCAATTACTGTGAAAATTTTATAGCAATCGGACAAGGAAAAAAACACTTTTAAGGCGATTGAAAAATATCGGTACGGCCTCTGAAAAACTGTATCGAAACACCTTAAGTGTTGTCAAAAACGGATTCCGTTTCTGTTCTTTTCTCTCATGGACATCCTGAGATTCGTGTAAGGGAAACATCACGCTTAAACTGATTTGTTTTCATTGACGGAGATGGTAATATTTGTCTCCTATCAGGTAAAAGAAGACCTGGCTCTAAACGTCATCCTCGTCCCAAGACGACTTATATAGGTAATTAATCGTATGTTATAAAGTGCAGTATTTTCTTTTTTGCAGAACAAGGCGGGCAAAATCTATCCAGTTTTTTAATGGGATTGTAATAGATACTCTTTTTTTCCTAGACAGCACAAATTTTGACCCTGAAAGTCCATATCGTCCTCAAGCTGTCGATGCAGGTAATTCATTGTTTTGCCAATTAGCCTTTTTTCCTCCCAAGTACTCTAAATTCAAATACTTCTAAATCAAAAAAGCCTTTCCACATCTCACTTTAGTGTGTAAGCAAAATGAAAATGAAATGAGGTCAAAACTTGGGTGCACAATTTCAAGCAAATCACTGTGTTTTGTGGATACTCCAAGCTTCGAGTCGGTACCTTTGTTCAAGTAAATGGGGGAAAGGCCTATTCCTATAGTAACAATTACTTATACTTTATTATTAGTCAACAAAAACACATGTTTATGAATTTTCCTTTCTATGCAATTTTAATGCATATTTGATATGTTAATTGATGAATTTATTAGATAGTTCAAACAACCATGTCTTTTTTTCCTAGACAGCACATATTTTGACCCTGAAAGTTCATATCGTCCTCAAGCTCTCGATGGAGGTAATTCATTGTTTTGCCAATTAGCCTTTTTACTTCCCAAGTACTCTAAATTCAAATACTTCTAAATCAAAAAACCTTTCCACATCTCCCTTTAGTGTGTAAGCAAAATGAAAATGAAATGAGGTCAAAACTTGGGTGCATAATTTCAAGCAAATCACTGTGTTTTGTGGATACCTTTTGTTCAAGTAAATGGGGGAAAGGCCTATTCCTATAGTAACAATTACTCATACTTTATCATTAGTCAACAACACATGTTTATGAATTTTCCTTTCTATGCAATTTTAATGCATATTTGATATGTTAATTGATGAATTTATTAGATAGTTCAAACAACTATGTTAAAGCCAAAGCACTTATGCATTTGCTCAGAAGCTGAAAACATGATTGAGCGTTTTTTTTTCTAGAGCCAGCCGCTTGAAAATGTTCACTGCACGGCTGCTGCCAGTGTTCCTAGCGACAATTCTATCCGCTTTCTTCTGCAATGTCTCTTATTTCCGATTCTCTCTCTTACCACCACAACCATTAATTGCACCAAATCAGTTTGCCAACAAATTTCCTACCAATTTCTCGATTTATTTTCAATCAAGAAGATTCCAAACGAAAAACCCATCCATTGTCAAAGAAACGCTTTCGAGGAAAGAGTTGCATTCTATTTTCTTTATTGAGAGCACTCGCCTCCCACCAATGTATCCCGGGTTCAAATCCGGGCGTCGAAGCCATATGTGAGTTGATTTTGTTATTAGTTCTCTTCCTTGCTCCGAGAGGTTTTTCTCCGGGTACTCCTGTTTTCCCCTCTCCCTAAAAACCAACATTTCTAAGTTCCAATTGGACCAGGAATCAAGTAGACGAAGAACCACTATGTGGATGTGATACGTGCAAATCGTTATTTATTATTTATTTATTTATTTATTTATTTATTGATTTATTGTTCCAAACCAGTTAAACCAACTAAAAGTAGCACATCATCTTGTCCAACTGAGATTCCACCGCACGTTGTTGAAAAGATGAAGACAAAATCCTATCACTTCATTGGCGTTGATGCATTCCTCAGCAAGTAATGAGATTACTCTGCATTTATTAATGAGATAAAGATTAAAGGCTATGACGTCTTCGGCGTTAATGTGCTCCACTTCAAATTAATGAGATTGCCTCTCAAAAATGGTTAATTCGGTGCGCCCTATACTACTAACACTTGGGACTAAATTTTTCACATTGTTGTTGCTATTATTATGACCATTAACATTCATTATTATTATTATGGCAGTACAAACGTCTGGATGCCCAGAGTAAAAAATAAAAGCTTTGGCTGGGCGGCAAACCGTAACCAGCCGCAGCATCGACTAAAATTAGTGGTAACAATAACACAATAATTTGCGCAAAAAAAAAAAACCTGGGTAAAAATGATTTGATTAAAATGTCATAAAAATAAATAAATAAATCCTACAAGCTTTATGGACGTCTTAATTACAAAATAAAAATATTCATAAGTTGAAGACCATCGTTCATATAGCTGTCCATTTTATGGGAACGTCTAAGGTATGTACATAAAATTTCGATAATGTACAAGATTAAGTATCTGTTAAAATAGGTGTCAAAATTCCAGTATATATCTAAGCGCTAGCTTGAACATTCTAGCAACGTGTAATGAACTAGACAGGATTGCCTTTTGCATTTGGCTCATAATTGATTCACTCTTGTCTCCTACGAGCTCTTTTATATTTTTCTCAACCTCTTTCGAACAGCCCCCAAGGACATCCGTGATGATGTTATACTGATTGACCTTGTACTCAGGATATCGGTTCGTCAGCTCTAGTCTCAGTTGACTGTATTTCGTTGTCTTCTGGAAATCTTTAGACTCTCTATTTTCCAGCTATGGACAGCTCATTTCAATCACTCTGACTTGCTCGCTGGTCTTGTCAGTGACTGTGGCGTCGATTCTATTAGCTTTTACTTGAGTTGCGTCACCTAATAATGGGACGTCCCAGAAGGCGGTCGCGTGCTCATTCTCATGCAGCGGCTTGGGTGTGACTTGTGAGAACGACGGTTCAACTTTAGTAATGAGATCTAAAGATCTAAGAACTTCAAAGAATAAGATCTGGCAAGCATTGTTATGTCTCTGTAGGAACTTAGCCTGTGCCAGTGCACTACAGCCAGATAGGGAAATCCCCGCATAAGCGGCATTTTTCATCAGTAACTTGTGATTTTGTTTCTCTGTTGTAGTAAACCTTGGTAGGTAACAGCTGTTAGTAAAGCTCTTGTACTCCAGCGATGGTATGCGTTGGGGCATTCTTCCATGAAGAAAGCAACGCAAAGCATTCCTCCAGTTTAACTTTCTCGTCCTCCCATCTGTTCTTAATAAGCTTTCCTTTCCATCTCTCCTCAGATACCGTTGATTGTATCTCCTGCTGGCGGACTTTGTAGATTGCCTGCTTTCCCTTCTTAGCTTCGACTTCTTTGCCATCGGCAACAGCAACTGGGTTAGGGAAGTTTAACCACAACTGTAGATCCAGCTCCTCTGCATGCTTCTTAGCATCTTTAATGATGGAGTGGCTTCCATTTTGTACGGCTAGCTCTTCAAACGACCTTACTGCTGCCATCGTAGGGTCAGCGTTAAAATAAAGCTTTACTGCTGCTTTGATCTTAGTGTTCTTGTATTCATTCTCCACGGACTTGAGACCTCTTCCACCGAGCTTCCTAGACATGTACAGTATCGCTATCGATCCCTTAGGGTGATTTCCTCCATTCTCCACGTTGATCTTTCTTCCCTTTCGGTCAAGCTGTTGGATGTTTGCTATCGGCCAAGTTTGTGTCAACATCAAGTATGTAAGTATTTTTATTATTATTATTATTATCATTATTATTATTATTGTCATTGTCATTATGGCTAAAGACGTTGTTCCTATATCACATGTATACTAGGTCAGCAACTATTAATAGAAGTAAAGGGCGTCATCGTGCCTTTTGGAATTGCAGTGATATCGCTCTAAAACAACTGATATTTTATTTTGTGTTTATAGTTCCCTCGGATATTCAGGCGCGAGGTCCTGAGGCAATTGAAGCCTACAACAATGCTCTTATGGACGGGAGAGCGTATATTAAAAGAGTACCAATCATGATAATCGGGCAAGCTCGAACAGGAAAAACTAGTCTAAAGAAATCTCTAAGAGGAGAAAAGTTCGATCCAAAGGAACAAAGCACTGTAGGAATAGAGACTGACCCTTCATACTTCAAAGTTTCGACGGAAATTTGGAGAGCAGGGGACAATAGCAACAAGAATATTGATCCTGGGTCAGAGGATTTCTTCGAGCAGAATATCGCACAGTCAATATTTGGGGCATTAAAAAATGTTAAAATATCTCAGAGTCCGCCCTTAAGGAAACCAGGCAATGATAGCTCTGATACACCAATTACGGACGCAATATTGAGCCAAAGACACAGTCATTCGTTTGAAGAAGAAATACCAGAAAGTATAGCAACAAGGGTGGAAAAACTTCTACAAAATAATGAGAATGTTGAAGAAGAGGAAGAAATATTTTCCATTCTGTGGGATTTTGGTGGACAGTCCGTTTACTATGCCACCCACCCAATCTTTCTGACAGAGAAAGCGATCTACATCTTAGCTTGCGACCTAAGTCGTAATCCCTACAACAAAGCAGACTCTCTAGTCAGAAAAGGACTCTATAGGAACAAGGAAGACCTCTGCAACGACACAAACCTAGACTACCTTGATTTTTGGCTGTCATCCGTGTATTCTTTGGTCGGTCCAGATGCTATTGGCCAGGACAACTCTCCTTCAGACGCCAAAACTGCGAGATTGCCCCCAGTTTTTTTCGTGTGTACTCACGCCGATAAACCCTACAGTAGTGCCACTGATCCTAGAGGTCTGGCGGTCGATATCTATGGATTTCTCCGAAGCAAGCCTTATAAAAGCCATTTGTTTAAGGACGTTTTTGTTGTCGACAACACGAAATCAGGGAGCCGACATGGTTGTCCAGAGGTAACACGCCTAAGAAAAAAATTGTTGTCTGTTGCCCAAGGTCTTCCTCAGCTGAAGGAGGCAATCCCATTAAAGTGGTTAAGGTTTGAAAGTATTCTTCGGCTTTTACGTGAAGACAGTTGCAAATTGATGGCCATTGGCGAAGCTAGGAAGCTTGCTTCTGATAAGTGCGGGATCGATCACGATGGACAGTTTCGGACTATGCTTGACTTTTTGCATGATCAAAAGGTTCTAATTCATTTTAACGAAACACAAGAACTAAACAACTTGGTGATTTTGGACCCCCAGTGGCTCATTGATATCTTCAAGAAAGTAATTACTATTAGGCGTTACGAGCCGGATACAGAAGATAACGTTGAACGGTTTTGGCTCAAGCTGCAGGAGACTGGTATCCTAGATGAAAGGCTTCTGCTTCACGAGTGGAAACATTTGATTGATGTGTACAGTAAAGAAACCTGTGGATGCCTTATCGCGATAATGGAGAGATTCAGCTTGCTCTGTCCCTGGCCATCTGACGGAGGAAACATACAATACCTTGTGCCGTCCATGCTGATGTCACCCCCTACAAATAAAGTATTGGAGCTCCTTGCTTCTGTGAGAACGCCTTCACTTTTCGTGAGGTTTGAAGTAGGTCGAGTGCCTCCAGGCCTGTTCACGCGACTAGTGCTCCAGTTTTACCAATGGTGTAACGAAGAGTGGAAGAGCCAGATACAACCCCAGCTGTTCAGAAATTTTGCTCTGTTCTACATCCTTCCTGATCAAGGGGTGTTCGTCATCATTATGTGTCATTCCTCTTTTATTGAAATCGCCCTTCACGATGGAAGCGATTTTTGTGGAGCGATGCCGCTAGATTTCACTGAAGATTATTCCAATCTAACCAGTCGTGCAATACATCGTCAACTCAGATTGATTCTCGAGTGCATGCGCAGAGAGTTTAGCTGGCTGAAGAACATGAGATACGAAATGTGCATCTGCTGTCCAGTGTGTTCACAGGAAGGCTCTGTCACATGTCGAGCTCACAAGGTGCGCGGCTGTGAGTGTCTTCACTTGTTGTCTGAATGCGAGCTTCAGAAATGTCAGCATTGCACTCGACCTGGTTTGCGGGGAGATTGTAGAATTCTCATCAAAATGTTTGCACCTTGGTTTTCATTTTCAGGCCCTAACGAGAGCAGGAACCTGCTTAATCAGGTTTGTTTCTTATTTTCGCCAACTACTATGTACATCTGTGTATGATTTATACTTTTAGAAAACCACTACAACTACTGAAGCAATCTCTTTAAAATCTTAGATATACGCAATGAAAGCATAAGCTATTTCAGGCTGGGCAGAAGGCATATATCTTGTCTCCGTGATCTGAGTTTACCATAGCAGAAAACAACAACAACATAAGTAAGCAAGGGTTTCAAAAATGTTTATTCAGAATTTTCTTATCTTTCATCGTGTGTTTTTTCAATCAGCAAAGTGCATCTGGATGCAGTGATGTGAGAGAAAGAATTTCTGAAACTTACCAAGGATGTGAGAACACCATTAAATCATTTTACAAAGGTCAGTTGTAAAATTCCAATTCTTATATATTCTTATTCTTCCAATTCTTATATACTGCATTTATATTTTGTCAATTTATTATAGCAGTCACTTGAAGTCTGCTGTTTTCTTTAATTAGCCAACCGTTCTGTGACCCAAATCAATAAACAAGTGTTAGCTTGATCATTAACGGCCAGGATAAATCCGAAGAAACCATAATGCCCAATTCCTTGACACACTTTCGAGTTTTAAGACTCGTTCCCAATGAGTATTTAGGGAGGGAGGGTTCACATATGTGCGTTGTACGTAAAACTTCGCACCTCTCGGAGTTAAAATGAAGTTGTCATTTAGATGCCACAGTTGACAGTTCTCTGTACACTTTGGTGTCGTCAGCAAACATACTTACTGTAGAAGAGATGCTAAATGATATATCATCGACAAAAAAATAAGGAATAAAACTTGGCCCAGGATTGTACCACGGGGAACCCCGACGTTGCACAAGACCAGGATGAGTGGAAGCGTCGAACAATCACAAATTGCTTGCGTTCGGTCAAAAAGCTTCTAAACCAACGCGGTCCTGTGACATTTTAATAGTCAATAGCCGTTCGTGAGTCAAACGCTTTTGAGAAACTTAATCTAATCTGACGTCTTTTCACTCAATTTACAAAAGCGGTGACTTAAACATGTTACTTTAACTTTCAGAACTGTCTCTTGTTCTCCCCAATGATGTTCTTCAGTGCATTCACACTCAGTCGAACGAGCCCGAGGAAATTGTAGTTCTATTTCAAGAGTGTCTGAAATTAACCCCAGCAGATCTGAAAAATCCAGTGCCAAAGACGCAACGATGGATTCGGTGTCTAGCTAATAAGGCTAAATCTCAAAAAAGAACCGACGTAATTGAGTACTTGAGGACGATAGTACCTGCCGGTACTACAGGTACGTCCACAACAAAAGCACTATGTAAAAATTCGTTCTTTCTTTTATTACCACGAGGAGAGATACTTCCAAGTAGTAAGTGAAGTTTTTCCCGCATCTTTCTTGCAAGAACTTGGAAGAACACCTCTAGTTTCAACAATATAGCCACCTCATTTTCGCCACCTTTAGAAAAAGTTCATGTTGGAACTTTGTACAGTAGAGGTAGAAGTATGTACACAGGTTTGCATGTACAGTTATGGTAGTTATTTTATTCACACCATGTTGTTTGGTAACCAGGTCCCTTACTGAACGAGAACCTTGATGTGCTTTCTATTCCCTTTAAGATGAGAAAGGAACTAACATTTAGTCTATGTGGTAAGTGCCATTTGTTATTTCCTGCAAGCTTCTCACATGTGTTCCCAAAATTATGTCTATACAATATTGTCAAAGTCATGTCAAAAGATTATTTCCAGGTTCCGGACATAAAATTATACCCAATACAACAACAACAATTTTATTAAGGTTTGCCCATCTAAATTAACTGAATCATGGTTAGAAAACTAACTCGGCACGGAGGACCATGGCAGTTAATGACGCAACTTATGCAGTTGCTCAAAAAAAAGCCTGAAAAAAAACTTCTTATCTAGGTTACCAACGTTAAGTGCGACGACGACGGCAAACTTTCTAATGCGACATTTTCTGGAAGAACACAACAAGCTACGACAAATTTTCCATTATCATTTTAAACGTCAAAGAAATCAAGTCCAGAAAAATTCGACTATATTTGACAAATTGAACAAAAGCCTAAATGCTAAAGGTCCTCTAGCTCACAAGCGTTGCCCCCCAGGAGAAAAGAAGACTCTGGAATCCAGGGATGGATTAGAATTAGCGCTAATTGAACTGCTTTTCACGTCCGAGTGGTGCTACGAATTATAGGATAAAGAAGTAACATACAAAAAGTGTGATGCACGAGCCAAGGTGGTGTTTTGCTTATCTAAAAGTATTGCTTTTAAAATTTGTTGTTGTCGCCTCCATCGATGTCAATTAAACCACTATTCCTCTTTTTACAAAATGAGAGAGCTCTTTTCGCTCGTTTGCATTGACTGAGGGGCTGATACAGGCTAGGGTAGTCGGGACAGCCACAATCTTTTGGCCGCTTATTTGTTAAAGTAGACCAAAATGTTTACAAAACCGCTAACTAGAGCTTCTCGATACATACCAAGCAAATCCTTCTTTCTAGCAATCGGCTTAAGCTATCTCCATGATCTTTCACATGCGTTTTTAAAACGACTGAAACTACTATGAGGTGAAATTGCATTTCAAAAGCCCCTCGCTTTCTACAGATAACGGCCGACCATCTATATTGTCCAGTTTTTAACGTATTTCTAACCATAAAAACTTCATCTTAATATATCTCGATAGCGCTCTTACCGATTTCGCTTAAACTCCACAAACTTCAGAAGTGTTAAATTAAAAACATGGCTCAAACTTCCAAGAAAAGGCCACGCAGTTGTCTTCAAGAAGGCATCTGATGTCACACAAAAATACCATTCAGTGTTCTAGATGGTAGGTCTTTCCTTACAAGCGCAACTGTTTCTATAAACATTTCGATAAAACAGAATCTGAAACTTTTAAATCGCTTTTGTTTGCTAGGTGGAGAAGAATGGAAACAGCTTGCAGAGAACTTTGGCATGTCTTACAACGAGATCCGCTTTCTTGATAAGAGAACCACCAACCCGTGCGACGTTGTTCTTGATCTTATTGCGAAACACCGCTATTTGATGGTTGGGGAACTTTATGACAGACTCGTCATGAGCGGATTTCCAGGATCAGCCGACTTACTATAAATTATGATAAGCTCTTTGCTATTATTTTGCTTCAAGTACATGTTCAGTTCAGTTGTTCCGCGAGGTAGTTATATAGAATACAAAAGTATCCTGTCGATTGATCTCATGACAGTATCGTTCTTCGCACGTCCGGCAAAAAGTGTATCTGTAGGTTTCGTTAATTGTATACAGAACTGAAAATTAACTATTAGTTTAAATAATCATCATTGGATAAGTGTTGAAATAAATATTTTCGCACACAATCAAAAAGAAAAAAGAGAAGAAAAGAAAAGAGAACTAAAAAATGTTATAATTTTCTTTTGTTATTTTAATACTACAAAGATGCAGTTTCTGGCTCAGTAGCATGAGGTGGTGCCTCACTCAACCTGGACTATCATAGGTATTTGCAGTGTTATCAATTTTTGCAAAGTGTAGAACTCTGATACACGCTTAAGAGGCCCCGCGCCTAAGAAACGACCGGTGATTTCCGGCTAAAAAATAAAATCGGCCGATTTTTATCTCCTGAGTAGAGGTTACCGAATACTATTCAAAAATGAATTTCTTTTGTTTCAGTTTCGCTTTAAACGAAAAATATCGAGCCGCAAACTTTTTCCGTCTGATAGCAGCAAAATCAGGCCTAAAATAAGCTCTCGCAAAAAACGGTCCAGAAATCACTATCGCGACGCAAAACAACGAGAAAACTACACAGTGATGAAGAAAAAGGCCTTTTAATGCTATATCATTCGATAAACATCGAAAAACTGCCGAAGGGAATAAAAAATAAATTTTCAAATATTGCATATTAAATTAGATGGAGCGTTGGAGTTGATTTTAAAATAACAATTTCTCAAAAGTCCAACGCTGCTGAAAGCAATCACAGTGATGAATCAGACATTGGAGGGATATACATCACGTTTTGCCTTTTTGTAAAAAGCCGGTTTCATATGACTGCAACATTTTTGGCAAGTTTCATACCGTATTTACCGTTAAGTTGCCACTTCGGCGAAACACTTCTCTGTTGCCAATATGGCCAAGGATAGCGTGGTAAAGCCTTGCTATGCGCTTAAAACCATCCTAAATAGAAGTATATAGAATTAAAAGAGAAAGGAAAATGAAAGATTCGCAGAAAAAGAGAATAACTCGAAATCACCATCCGGCTAAGGAGAGTTGAATCTTGGAAATGTTGTCGCGTGACAGCGTTCATTTGTCCAAACTGCAGCGGGATCCAAACAAATACGTGAAATGTAAGTTTAAAAAACAGTCTTTCTATCACCAGAAATCGTGAAGTAAAACAGTTTTATGTTTTTCCTATTAATGACGATGAATTCAGCCTCAGCTAGTCTCCAAGTACTTTGAATGTGGGCTGCTTGTATTTCGTTACATACATTCCAACGGACGTTACGGGTCAGCACGTGTGGGGGTCAGCGGTTATTTCAGTATTTACCAATTTTTCTCACGGTAGCGCGGTATTTAATTTTGCGAGGAAACGTGAGACGACCTCGAATTGATCGGTACAACGAACGGAAAAGATACCCTACCAATTTCATCACAAATTATCTGTCAGAAATTGTGTAATGGTAATCATTTACCATTAATCTAAAGTCTTAAAAATACTGACGTGCATTAAACTAGCCTGCGCAGCAGGCGCTTGGAAGTAGCACAGGGTCCAGAGGAGATACTCGTTAGAACATCAGAACCCGTCGAAAACCTCTAAAAAATGGGTTATTTTGATCGCATTACAGTTTCTTTACACATTCTATAGTCGCCCTTCGGGCGACGTGCTGTGCGCCAGCGAGGATATGGCTTGCGGATATTGATTTTCAAAAGTTGATCCGGGTCAGATAAGAAGCGAAGAAATCGTTTAGAGTAGATTTATAAAGATTCCATTGGGCTAATTAATCGTGCTAAGCGACAGGTATAGACATTTTTCAAGGTGAGTTTCATTGATTCACACGAAATTCCTCTGGACCCTGTGGAAGTAGTGGGCGCGAGAGAGAACGGGCGCGCGCGAAGGAGACACGCGAGGGGTCATCCAAACGCCTGCTACGCAGGCTAGCATTAAACAGGAGAGGGCAATGAACAGTACCGCAATACCGTGATCTTCTTTTACCGAATACCGTTAACCAAAAGGATGAAATACCGCATACCGCAGAGCTAAATGATACCGCAATACCCCACTTTAAAATCCAAATTACCGAAATACCGCTTGAAAAAAAGCTCAGTACCGTAAGCCCCCATTTCCCCCTCCATGCTGTTGAAGAGTTGATAGAATATTTGGGCTTAAAACATCCACTTATATTTGATGTTTACCATCTTTGTCATAATTATCACAGCAACAAACTTTCATCTTTCATTGTTATTGTTGAAAGACATGTGCGGGTATTTCGAAATACCTTACAAATCTACAGATCTAAAAAGAGACCTTTTAGCCAAGGTTTCAGTGTAAAGGAATGTGACTGAGTGCAGCAAAAAATAATTTCATTCTGTAACTTTCCTGCGCAAGAGTTTGAGTGCATGGTATGCTGTCCAATCGGTAATGTGACAATTTGTTCGTTGTGCATTGGTTATCATCTAAATATCATAAATATTATTGTGGAAACAAATTATGAAGCATAGTATAAAATGAAGTTGCAAAATGAGTGAGGCACTTTCATCGATTTAAAAGTCCTACCGGTCTCCTATATTATATGATGTCCTCCCCAATATTTGGGTGACCCTATTTGGCGGAATAGCGGAATACATGCAATCAGTTGTAAAATACGGAATATACGTAATTCTCTAAAACCCGGAATTTACAGAATATTCTGTATTTGATTTGAACTGGACTGACGAAAAAGCAGAGGCAATATTAAAAATTCAATTTTCGTACTGCCGTAAGCCACACTATAGACCTTATGACGGTTTTGAAAGCCATCTTGACGGGTGAAGGGTCCGGTATCACGGGAATCTAATGTCGGATAACTTTCATTAAACGGCTGTTCTAAAAAAAAGAATTGTAAACTTAAGCTTGACAGGATTGTACTACCAATTAATGGGGGCCGCACCTGCGCCTAAATTTGTCCGGTCGCTTGCTTTAGATTTTCCAGAGTCTTCAAAGTCTTCAAAGGAATGATCTCTTCTTCAAATTTTGTCGAGATTGCTCGGCGGGTCGTTCTGGCGAGGAAGGATCCAGGGACAACAAGTCCGTTTTCCAGTCTCCTTGATCCATTACCTTAATCGACTTGTACTTTGTTTTGACCGCGAGCTTTTTTAAGAAAGGTGAATATAAGGAAGGAAAGTTCCATCGACAAAGTGCCCAACAAGTTTCAAGGTAAGTCCCTCGCGTTAACTGAGCATTCACCGTCAGTATTTGTTACTGCTACAGTTTCAAATGTTGTTCGTTTTTAAATAAATATCAAGGTTCTTTTTTTAACATTTGGTTGTTTCTCAAAAAAGAAATAAGCGCCCTGTCCCGAATAAGCGTGCTCCCTAGAGGCACCAAAAGTAAATAAGCGCCTGGGCGCTAAATCGAATGATTACGGTAAGTTAATTCTTTTACTTGTCACGCGCTTAAAACATGGTTCGAGTTAATGAGGGTAAAATTATATAGAAATGATCTGAAGAGAAACAAAAATTAGTATTACTTCGAGTTAGCACGAGGTTCGAGTCAGTAGCGAGGGTTCGAGTCATTGGAGTCGACTGTATACATTTATACCCTTTTTAAACGATTTTTCTCTTATTCTGCGTTGTAGAGTATTCCGTATATACCGTATTTTAGAATATTTTATGTATTCCATCATTCCGTTCCGTCATTCCGTCAGTCCACCATTCCTCCGCATAGAGTCACCCCCGATATTTTTTCATGTCCAAGAAAATACTAAACGCGAGGCTAATCATTGTGCCAAGAATTGAATCTGTTAGCTACATTTTATAGCGCCACATATTAGTCCTTTGAGAAAAAAACCCGTAATTCTTTGGCCATATATTAACTAACGGGGAACCACTTTATGATGCTTACACCACGTACCTACCGATTTCTTTCAATAGACCGCTGGCCAGAAGCGTCGACTCGTGACCCCACAACGATCAGATCACGCTGAGGTCAAAACGGTGCGGCGGTTCGGGAATTTTTTCTTTTCAAGTCACCATCGCTTGTGAAAAAATAACATTACTGTAGCATTGTTTCACTAAGTGCTTTCTGGCCGGGAAAAAGTTGTGCATTCGTTTAGATTCCGCCGCAGTTTAGACAAATGACGTCATTGGCCGCTGTCACGCGACGACATTTTCCAGATTCAAGCTTCGTCAGCAGATGGTAATTTCGAGTTCTTTTCTTTTTCTGCCTATTTTTCATCTTCCTTTCTCTTTTAATTCCACGTCCTTCTACTTAGGATGGTCTCTGAGCACCTAGCAAGGATTAAAGTGGCGTTTACCACGCTATCCACGGCCGTATTGGCAACAGAGAAGTGTTTCGCCGAAGTAGCAAGATAACGGTAAACACTGCAACTTTGAACGGTTTGTACAACGTCAATATACTTTGGCCGAAAAATGTTTTTCCAGACTCGTAATGTATATCCCTCCAATGTCTGATTCATCACTGTGATTGCTTTCAACAGCGTTGGACTTTTGAAAAATAATTATTTTAAAATCAGGTCCAACGCTCCATCTAATTTAATAAGCGATGTTTGAAAATTTATTTTTTATTCCCTTCGGCAGTTTTTCGACGTTTATCGAATGATATAGCATTAAAAGGCCTTTTTCTTCATCACTGTGTGGTTTTCTCGTTGTTTTGCGTCGCGATAGTGATTTCTGAACCGTTTTTTGCGAGGGCTTATTTTAGGCCTGATTTTGCTGCCATCAGACGGAAAAAGTTTGCGGCTCGATATTTTTGGTTTAAACCGAAACTGAAACAAAAGAAATTCATTTTTGAATAGTATTCGGTAACCTCTACTTGGGAGATAAAAATCGGCCGTTTTTATTTTTTAGCCGGAAATCATCGGTCGTTTCTTAGGCGCAGGGCCTCTTAACTTGGTATAGCTGCAACT